TGATGGTTAAATCAAAGTGGGCAGTCATGTTGGTCTGAAGCAACAGAACAAAGTTAAGAGTCCAGTGGCACCTTGAGAGCCAGTTTAGTGTAGTGGTTAAGTGCACGGACTCTAATCTGGGAGAACCGGGTTCGATTCCCCACTCCTCCACTTGCACCTGGCTGGATGACCTTGGGCAAGACGTAGTTCTGATAAGAGCTGTCCTTGAAAAAGAGCTTAACGTGATCGTTCAGCCTGCGACAGAACCTTTGTGCTGAACGGAGTGCGTTTTCCATTGGCTGGGAAGTGTTTTTAGCCGCTCTGAGACAGCTTTGGGTGGTGAAGGGAGGGGTATAAATCCAATCTCTTCTTCTTCTTCCGCTTCTTGAAGACCAACAAAGTTTTATTCAAGGTGTGAGCTTCTGTGTGCACGCGCATTTCGTCAGACAATGAAATGGAATTACAGATCATACTTGTATAAACAGATGGTAACCAGAAACCAAGCTTGTCATTCTGTTTATCTGTGAAAAAACACTTCACTGCTCTGCGTGCTAATGTAACAAGCCACCCTATACGTATACAAGTGTTATTCCATTTCACTGTCTGGCAAAGTGTGCCTGCACATGAAAGCTCACACCTGGAATAAAACCCTGTTGGTCTTCAGGGTGCCACTGGACTCTTTAACGTGATCGTTCAGCCTGCGACAGAACCTTTGTGCTGAACGGAGTGCGTTTTCCATTGGCTGGGAAGTGTTTTTGCACAGAGGAGCATTCACTCTACCTGCACTCCAAAGAGGGCAGTCTGTACGTTGCCTGCCTCTGTGAGAACAAGCCTTGGACTACGGGGCCAAGGAAGCATGCTGCGCTCTTAAGGAAAGGGGGAGGAAGACAGAGGGAGGGAGGGAGCCGGAGGGAGTTGAGAGCCAGCCGGGATTCACATTTCACAACAAAGGGGAAGAGATGGGAGCCCACCCTTCCACGTTGCTGTCCTGGAACAGAGAGATATGCTAGGATCGGGGGAGGCGGGAACCCAGCTGCAGCAACATCTGGATAAGCCAGCTCCCCGTTCTCTCCCCTCCCACACCCCTTAAGAGAGGAACCAGCCGGAACTCTCTGGAAGTTAAGTGGTTTCTCCCTTTTGTTTGCCAAGGGAGGGGGAGCAGGCTAGCAAAACAAGACCTTTTGCCTCCAGGGCAGGCAGCTGGGAGGAACTCCCCCCACACACACCCCTTTCCAAGGCCATCTACGTCTTTTTGCATTCTTGTAGGTGCATCTTTTCCTAAATCTCCAAGTACAGGGGGGATCTCTAATTCCTAATCCCTGCCTTAGTGACCCACTGTGGATTGGGCAGAAACAAAAAAACGCTTGTTTGTCCAGGTCAGTAACACACGTAGGATAGAGCTGAGCTTCAGGGAAGGCAGCAACATTTGCCAAGTCTCGGCCTTGGCCTCTCATTAGGGACATCCTCTTGATTTGTCTAAATTCCTTTACTATGGCACAGCACAGGGGTCATTTCCCAGAAAAACAGGTGCAGGAGCTCATTAGCATAACTCATCTGCATACACCACACCCCCTGACATCACCGGAAGTGTGTCAGAAGGCAACACCCACCGCTCAGGCTCCGCTGGACTGGGGGGGGGGATGTGCAGATCTGCCCTCACAGAGGAGGGAGAGCTTGTACCTGAATAAAAATTGGTCTTAAAGGTGCCACTGGACTGTTTTGGATTGCTAGCTGTGGGGGGGGGGGGAACACGCAGCTCTGCCCTCACAGAGGAGGGAGAGCTTGTACCTGAATAAAACTTAATCTTAAAGGTGCCACTGGACTGTTTTGGATTGCTAGCTATTGGGGG